CCTGCAGGTGCTGATGATCTCGGAAGCTCAACATGACTGGGAACAAGAGGGCCAATGTATTAGGAAGCCCCTTGGGGTTCACAGCTCTGAGCTAAAAATCCGCACCCCCCCCCCAGCCCTTCACAGAAGATTCTGGAGTCCCTAAATGTGACCTTGGGAAGCTCTCTCACCTCTCAGGGGTGAGATTTCCCTATGTATAAAATGGGGAGATGGTTTTCCCTACTCCGGAAGCTCCTCTGAGATTTCCAGACACTCCTGTTTGTAAGGTAGGTGGTAAATTCACAGTCCATGTTAAACTTGTATCCTGGTTTCTGGGAAACTCAACTGGGAGTGTTAAATTCCTTTTGTATTTGTTTCAGGACCATGTCCTACAAACCCGACTCTTAGGTAACCTGCTTCTAGGGCCCAGCTTCCACCCCAAACTCATTTCAGACTGCAGCATTTTGATCAAACATGACATTGGTTTGCGGAGTATTTCCTTTGGTGATTTTTTTGTTCTCAGCCTAGTAGTGAGTTTTGACATGGGTATCATTTTATTTTGAAAGCAATCCTGTAAGTCTGAGATGAGAGATTAAGGTATCATGACACAGTGTCTGTCACATACTCATATATGCAGGCACAAACACACACACACCTGCGCACGAAGCCTCCTCACATGAGCTTCTCCCTCAGTCACCAAGGTACTGAGCACCCAACCCTTTAACCAGGCTGGAAAGGAAGCCCCATTGGTTTTAAATTTTCCACACTTGGAACTTGAGACAGCATTTCCAGCTCTTCTAATGCCTGATAGTTCCTCTGGGATTGGTTATTTCTTCTAAATTCACTGACCTAAATCCTGGTTTGCTTTTTCTCCTTAAATGCAAAAGTATCAATTGTTCTCTTTTTAAAAGCAGATTTACATAAATAAATGTAAAAAGTGAGATTCTTTTACCTAGGACATATGCTAATCCCATTCTTTAAGGATACTCATTATTATGAACAATTTATGAACAAATTTCTAAGATGCTTTAGGAAATCTTTCCTTGCACCCAAAACACAAAATAATCCCTATACAGAGATTAAAACCAAGGGCTCTAGGTCTGAATGGCCTAGATGTCAGTCTTAATGTAAGTTAACTCGGATTAAGTTTTGCTGGGTTTTTGTTTTTATTTGGGGTAGTAATGGGGCTCTAACCCAGAGCCTTTGCACTGAGCTATAACTGCTTTTTTTTATTTTTTATTTTGAAACAGGATCTAATTAAGTCTCTAAGTTGTCTCGGCTGGACTTGAATCTGAGGTCTTCCTGCTTCACCCTCTTGGAATGCTGGCCTTCTAGGCATGCACTATCACAGTCAGCTTGGTTCTTTAATAAAGGATAGCCAAAAAAGATTGAGAACTTATAATCACTATGTTAATGGAGATTCCAAGGTTTCTTTCAAGTATTTATAAACTCAAGTCTAAATTTCAACAGACTTGCAGGGTCTTTAGCTCCTCTGGTGGCCCCTACAAGGCCCCTTGTCTTCCACGGACTTGAGCCAGACTCAACACCGCCATTTACCTCCAGGACTAGGGTGGTGTCCTCTCCCCACTGCCCAAGATGTCATCCACACAGGGGCCACCACCACCCTTTGGTTTGTGACTTCCAACTTGGACACAGACAGTTTGGGGGAGCTCTTTTGGATACCTCTATGCTTCATTATGGCACTTGACATCTGAACTATAATCTTCCTTTTACTTCTTTTTACCAGGAGTCTTTGAGCTCCTCAAGAGAAGGGCCTTGGTCTTATTCCTTGCTAAGTAATGTATCTATGCAGGTTTCCGGCCTGCTGAATGGGTGACTGAGTAAGAGATTGACACAGGACTGTGGATCCATTCCCAAGGCCACACTGTAACTTAGATGGTGAAAAGACAGAGGGGCAGGCTAGAGAAAAAAACTAAAGAGGTGGAAACGTTGGGGTAGGTAGCTGCTGTGGCTGAGACCTGCAAATCACCCTACACATTTAAAAAGGGCATTATTTTCCACTGAGCTCCTGTGGCTTGGTTATCTTGATCTTATTATCTCAAGAAACAGCCATGTGAAGGAGGCAGCATGAAGAGAGGCATAGGACTGGAGCCCAGGGTGAGACAGGTGCTGGAGAGTCTGTGGGCAAGAAGAAACAGGCAGCCTCCGGGAACCGCCTTGGGCACCTTCCTGCCCTGGGTGGGGAAGGACGGCCACAAGCCTGCGGGGGGGAACTTCAGTAGTGTTGTGGTATGTGCACATATGTATGCATGCATGTGTGCACCCTCGTGTGCCTGCACTTACTATTCACACGTGCACATGCAGCACCGTGTGGCTCTTCATCTAAGGTGTCAGTACTTGTGCAGCAAGCATGCACCTGTGGGAATCCACGCAGGTTTGTAGGGGGCATGGGAAGCAAGTCCTGCAGCATTTGGAGTTTACGTTTCTAGTGTTTTGGTGACAGTTGTCTTTTCACAGAACAACATTTTGTGGAATCCTTTCCTGCACTAGCAATGCGGTATCCGCAGCATTCCATTCATTTTCCCTCTAAAATACTGGGTCACACATGGTAAAAGTCTGTAACTCAGAACCAAGTAGTGCTTGTTACTGAAATGTATTGTGTGTGCTTTATGTGGTGTGGTGTGTGTGTGTGTGTGTGTGTGTGTGTGTGTGGCAGTGGCTGGGGAGAGAGGGACTATAGAAGAATTTTCTTCTTACAGGAAAACCTTCAGTCCACCCTAGACCCAGACATCAGCCAGAGGAAAGAGAGCCCTGGCCCACCCACCCAGGAGAGCCCAGGGCAGAGCCAGAGGCAGCAAGGAAAGGCGAGAAGACATGCCTGCTGGCGTCGCCCCCGCCCACCCCCAGGCCCCCCACATCAGGGCAGGCTAAACATGCTGAGGCTTCTGTCTCCAGGGCTGGAGAGAGGCGCCCTCGTTAAAACTCAGATACACAGTTTATCAGGAGATGAATGAGCCACCGGGCTCCAGAGACGTCTCCCCTTCCCCAGTGTGGAGCCAGATGGGAGGGGGCGGCCGCTGGAGCAGGGGCTGGTGGAGGAAAGGAAGGGGCTGTAGGGGCTGCCACAAGCCTGGAGGGAGCTCCTTCCTCGTTTGGTTTAAACTTCAGTCTCTACTTTGAGAAATGCATTTCACATTTATTTACCCCGTGTCCCAGCCAGTCCACGTTCCGGGGCTACTTTCTTCCTCTCCCCTTTCCTGTTCCTCTTCCCATGGCCCTATCTAGCAGAGGAGCTTGCACTTCATTCCTCTAAGTAGAATGGCAACACTGACTGCACACTCACAGCATCATAACCCAGCGTGAAGCTGAGCTGGGCATCCCTGCTCACCCTGAGGCCTGACCTGGCCAGGAGACCTCCCAGCTCCTTGGGACCACCTCCACCCCCAACTTCTTCTGGGCGTCGGGAGACGAAGGGACAAGTCTCATGGCCGGCTCTTCCTCCTTTTGCTAATTTGGTTCTAGCCCAGCATGGTAATGCTACTTTGGGTGTCACTAAGAGAAAGCCCATCAGCTGCTACGTTTACCGGACCCAAGAGACAGTGAAGAAACCAATAGAGATGGTTTGCATGCACCTGGATTGGTGCCAGATGTAAAAGGTAGTAATTGCCATTCTTCTCATGCCCTTATGGTATCTCGAGGTCCATTGATCCCTCGGTGTCAGGGATAAGGGACCAACCCAAGGCCACACTACTCATAGGTTCCAAGTTTTCTGACATTAAGCCCCATGGCCTTCGTGCATCACCCACAACACCTATTTTTGCAGGGCCAAAGAATCAGAAGATTGCTGAATTATTGTTAGAATCATAATGGAAATAAGAAAGAGGCATAAGAGATATGCAGGCTCCTCTTGCCTTGACCTGGAGTTGCCCAAGCAACTGAAGGATTGCTTCAATTTTTCTTGCCCAGAGTATTTTTCAGGAACACACACCTGCGAAGGGCACAGGCAAAACAGGCCTACACTGTCCTTATTTGTTAAGACTTCCAGCAGGGGCTCCTGAAGCCCCAGTCCCCAGCCATTGCTCACTAAAATCCAAACACAGTGAGCGCCTGATCAAAGGCCAAGCTGACACCCATCCCTCCCCTGGCCCATCTCCTCCCAACAGCTTCCTTTTGAAGAAATGCAACCCTTGTTGTCCTGCTTATAAAAATCAAAAAATACAGTGCCACAGTATCACTGAAATTGGCTGGTTATTAAGTTTCCCGAGAAATTCCAGTCCCTCATAGCCACAATCCAGAAGGAACAGCTCAGCTGGACTTGTAGAATGGACTTGTAGAATGTAGACTGTTGGGGTTGATTTCAGCAGCTTTCCCACCATCCTCACTCTCTTTTGCTCAAATCTGAGATGGTTAGCATATTGAGGGCAGCAGGCCTCTCCAAAAAGCTAACATGTATCCAAAGGCATTTTCTCAGTATACTCTTGGTCCCAGGGACATGCTCGACTAGACATGCTTTATCTCCTTTCCATAGCACAATTCTGTCAGGTGGAAAATGGAAGCTTGCAGTGGTTAAGATGCCTGCATAAAGAAGGTAACACAGCTAGTAAGTGGCAGGGCCAAGACTCCTACATGAGTCCGCCTGATACAAAAGTCCTCTTCCTTCTGAGCTTCCTGTGTACGCACTTCTGCCTTCACTTCCCAAGTCCTCAGATCTTTTGCCGACCCCTCATCTCCTATGGTTCCCTCTTCCTGAAGACTCCTGTGTCTCAAACTTCTCCTCTCCCTACTCAGATAAATACACCCTTTTTATTCACTGGGCTGGGCTGAAGCTCAGCTCTACCATTAGGTATGGATTCTGTTTAGACTCTGGTAACAACATCCCCAGATTGACTAGGTTCTTAAGTGATGCAGAAGTGGGGTTCCGAGGGCTCCCCAGGTGTGATACTTCAGGACCCCACAATGAAGAGGTGCAGGTGTGCTTTGAAAAAACTTTGGCTCATGTTATAATTGCTTTGACTTCTTATGGTTCATCATAGTGTATTATGAAATTTCAGACAACATTCAAAGGAGAACATGAAGTTGTTATATTTTCAAAAGAGGGCATGGGTTGTTTAAAGTGTACAACATTAATCTATAGTTTCATGGGAATTTATGAGTTTTACCATCCCCTTTTAATTCTTTTCTATGCTTCTCATCTTTCCCTCACTGGACTGCAAAAGTCTTGGAGGGGTATGGAGAGCAACTATGAAATATCTCTCCCCCCACCATCTCATCTCATCTTCACCCAGTAGATCATCCATAAACAGGTCCACGAATCCATTCTTAAACATGGTTTGACTTTCATTCCCTTTTTTTGCTTTTCAGTCAAATCTACCCAGTCTAAATAAAGAACCGAAGGATCTGGGTTAGTTTTTAAACAACAATAAGTGCTTTGGAGGATAGACGGATGGAACAGAAAACAGCACAATGAAGTGTCACTAACTAGAACCTACTGTCTCAGAAGGGCTGAGCTAGAATTTAGCCTTTGAACTCTTTACTGAAAAAATTATTTTCTTAGTTAATTCGCAGCAGGGACAAAATTGCTCTGGAACATTTAATCTTCACAGGACAACAAATTAATGTCCAGCCCCCATAAAGCACATCAAAAACAAAGAAGTACGTTTGAAAAGCCTACTGTGTGTGGGGTACCAATCAAGTTACTTGAGAGCCAATCCAATTCAAACAACAGTGGGTTGTTCTGATCTCCAGTGCTCATCAAACCAAGGTCTCCTTTGGGGCACTGGCTTGATGGTCTAATTCCACTTATTGTGTAAATTTGAAAGTGGAGGTAACTGTTTTCACCTGAAACTGGCCATCCCTCCCGACTGCTGAGGTTCTTAGAAAGACTACGCCACGCAACAAAGTGTTTTCTTCCTTAGATGGATGATGGGTCTTTGGGAGTGGAGGCCAGGCTGAAAGGGAAAATCAGATCTCTGGGGAAAGGAAGGGTGACTGAGGCTGTCACATCGAAGCTCCTAAGTGGCACTGGGTGGAATCCTGGTGAATGCCTGGGTCAACCATGCCAAAGTCCCTCCTCCAGATCTTTCCAGATTCCAATCAGATCCACCACAAAGGAAACTGAGTTTGGGTTCTGAAGCCTGCATTCAGCTCTTGGTCCACAGGAAAATGAACCGGAGGTGCCACTGCAGTGCCCATCCCCCATCAGAGGGAAGCGGCTTCTGAAAGAGAAAGCATCTCGCAGGTTTAGAAACGTTTAAAGTGTCACAAAAGTGACTTGCCCAAGGTCAACAGAGATATTAAATCGGGGTGGGCCGCAGCCAGGACTCGAGTCCCCAGCTGACAGTTCATCCTTCAGTCTGTCGTCCCCACGCTGCCGAGGGAGGCCGATTTTACCAGAGCCAGAAGCTGCTGCTCCTCTTCTTGTGAAATGTGAGGGGCTTAGAGAGGAATCCCAGGAAGTTTGTTTACACTCAAGACCTGAAGAGCTTCGAGAAAACATCCAAAACCAGACGTACCCATCAGCATACACACACACACACGGGGCACGGACACACACACACACACACGGGGCACGGACACAAGAGTAAAAATTGATCTGGGTAGGGAGGATGGCTGGCAAACCCACCTCGCTGGGCTGCCCCCGGCCGTCAATGCCAAGAGCAAGGCTTGCCGATAGCCAGCAGAGGGCGCGCCGCCCTCAGGGAGCCGAGCGGCGGCCGCGCGAAGCCGGACGGGCCAGGGGAGCCGCGGGCCAGCCAGACGCGCCCCTGCGTCTCGGCCATTCAGGGTGCAGGTCCCGGCCAGAAAGGAGGAAGAGGGTGAAAAGCGGGCCCCTCTCGTGGACCCCGAGGGCAGACGGGCAGGAGTGCATCCTAGGAATTACATCACGCTGCGCAACGCTGCGGCCCTGGGACTCCCCTGGCGCATAGTGGGGGGTGGGGACGTGTGTGTGTGTGTGTGTGTGTGTGTGTGTGTGTGTGTGTGTGTGTGTGTGTGTGTGTGTGTTGGGGGGAGGGGACCTAGACCGACCCTGGAGAGAGGAAGGCGAGACGCACCCGGGGAAAACGCTCCATGCACACGGAGAAATTTCTTGCTCCCAACTGCGCTGAGAAGCGAGCCCTCGGCACCTCCCCGCCGCGCCCTTCCCGGTGCATAGCCCCGGGAGAGGGAGATTCGCCCCGCAGTCCCACCTCGGCCGACCCCCGACACCGGCCCTGCACCCTCCAGCCCGGCTCCCGGCTCCAGCGCCACCGCGAGCTTTCCCTGGGACGGGCCCTGGCGGGGCGCCTAGAGCCCCAGTCGCAGTGCTCCAGGAGAAAGGAGGGGGCGGTGCATTTTGCAGGAGGAGGAGAAGGGGGGTGGGGTGGGGGAGAGAGAAAATTGCGCGGAGACCTGCCAAGCGCCACCGCTGCCGCCGTCGCCGCCGCCGCCGCCTGGGAGCCCCGGCGGGCAGCCGGGCTGTCGGCCTCCCGGGGCATCTGGGTCCGCCGGGCGCAGCTCTGGGCGCTGCCGAGGCAGCCGCCGTCGCCGCCGCGAGTGCAGGCGGCTTCCCCCGAGCCTGTGCCGCCCCGGCCGCTCGGGGGTGGAGAAGTGGGGGGTGGGGTTGTTGTTTGGGGGGAAGGAGGGGGAGGGGGCGACGCCGAGAGAGTCAGTGGTTTCCATGGTGATGGAGCTGAAAGTGCAGGAAATTTAAAGGCTTGGACCCTGCGAGACAGACAAACCGGTGCCAACGTGCGCGGACGCCGCCGCCGCCGCTGCTGGAGTCCGCCGGGCAGCGCCGGCCGCGGAGCCCGGAGAGGCGCAGGGAGAGGCAGACCCGGAGCAGCTCGGGCCGCGCCGCGCGGAGCTGCAGGACGAGGCGCCGCGCTCGGAGGAGGCGACGGAGGAGGAGGAGGAGGGCGCAGAGCGGCTCGGCCCCGCGCCCCGCGCCCCGCGCCCCGCCGGCCCCGCCAGGCAGCGAGCAGCCGGCGCCCCCAGCGCCCCCCGGTCGCCCTGGAGGGATTTCGGATGCTGCGCCGCGGCCGCCTTCCCGCGTAGACCCGGACGAAGAGTCGCAGCCAACTCTCTCGGGCGCCTGCGTTCCGCCCCGGAGGGAGCCGGCGCCGCGCGAAGGGCTTCTCCCGCGGCTCATGCGGCCGGCCCTGCGCCTGCCCCGCCTCGGCTGAGCCGCCTCCGGAGGGACGCGGGACCCAGCTGCAGCCCCGGGCGCGCGCCGGAGGCATGGAGCGCGGCCCCGGCCTGGGGGTCACCCTCTACGCCCTGGTGGTGGTCCTGGGGCTGCGCGCCGCGCCGGCCGGCGGCCAACACTACCTCCACATCCGCCCGGCTCCCAGCGACAACCTGCCCCTGGTGGACCTCATTGAACACCCGGACCCTATCTTTGACCCCAAGGAGAAGGATCTGAACGAGACGCTGCTGCGCTCGCTGCTCGGGGGCCACTACGACCCGGGCTTCATGGCCACCTCGCCCCCCGAGGACCGGCCCGGTGGGGGCGGGGGCGCAGCCGGGGGCGCCGAGGACCTGGCCGAGCTGGACCAGCTGCTGCGGCAGCGGCCGTCGGGGGCCATGCCGAGCGAGATCAAAGGGCTGGAGTTCTCGGAGGGCTTGGCCCAGGGCAAGAAGCAGCGGCTAAGTAAGAAGCTGCGGAGGAAGTTACAGATGTGGCTGTGGTCGCAGACCTTCTGCCCGGTGCTGTACGCCTGGAACGACCTGGGCAGCCGCTTTTGGCCGCGCTACGTGAAGGTGGGCAGCTGCTTCAGCAAGCGCTCCTGCTCCGTCCCCGAGGGCATGCTTTGCAAGCCGTCCAAGTCGGTGCACCTCACCGTGCTGCGGTGGCGCTGTCAGCGGCGCGGGGGCCAGCGCTGCGGCTGGATTCCCATCCAGTACCCCATCATCTCCGAGTGTAAGTGCTCGTGCTAGAACTCGGGGGGACCTGCTGCCCGCACCCGGACACTTGACGGATCCCCATCGACGCCCCAAACCGCCTCCAACCAGACCCACCACCCTCTAACGAGGGTTTTCAATGAACTTTTTTTTTTTTTTCTGGCTACGGAGACCTAGCTTTCTGGTTGATGTAATGCACTGTTTAACTGTGTAGGAATGTATATGTGTGTGTATATACGGTCCCAGTTTTAATTTACTTATTAAAAGGTCAGTATTATACGTTAAAAGTTACCGGCTTCTACTGTATTTTTAAAAAAAACTTAAGCAAAAGTTAAAAAAAAAAAAAAAAGAACAGAGAAAGAGAGACTTATTCTGGTTGTTGCTAATAATGTTAACCTGCTATTTATATTCCAGTGCCCTTCGCTTGGCGAAGCAGGGGGGAAAGTTATTTTTTTCTTAAAGTACAAAGAGAGGGGGAACTTTTGTAGAAGGACTTTTTGAAAGCTATTTTCCATTCTTCGGAAAGTGTTTTGATTTTTCCTTGGACCTCGAAGAAGCTATAGAGTTCAATGTTATTTTACAGTTATTGTAAATATAGAGAACAAATGGAATGACTAATCATTGTAAATTAAGAGTATCTGCTATTTATTCTTTATAATATCCCGTGTAGTAAATGAGAAAGAAGTGCAGACCAGGATTAAAGAAAACCACTAAAACCGACTGCGCTGGACGCTGCGTTTCTGTGTTGGTGATTGGAGCGGGGGCGTGGGGGGACGCGGGAGGGGCGGGCGGGATGCCGCGTCCGTTGGGAAGAGGGGTTCATCACCCTGCGCTCCCTTCCTGTGGGGTGATGGAGGTGACTGCAGTTTTTCAGCGAGGGGCGCGTGTTTCTCAAACCCCCGCTTTCACAGATCACGTGGCCTCTGTCTCCCAGCGTTTTTCCCCCAAGTCACCAAAGCTCGGGCCTATAGTGACCTCGACACCAAGCCGGCCCCCTGGAGGTGACCCCAGGCTGGGCCGAGGGGCGGGGGGGGGGCGGCCGCTTTGTCCTGCCTGACAGACCCTTCACAATGGGGACACGTGTCTTTCACACCTACCCTGGGGGCGGAGTGCCGCTGAAACTTGACCCCCGAGGAACGGGGGGGGGGGGGGGGGATCAGAGGGAGCCCACCCAGATCCCACCACCCCTCCCGCCTGGCACCCCCCACCTCAATATCCAGCCCCTGTTAACCCTTTGCACTCCCGGAAGATACAGCGGTGAGAACTGAGGCCATCCCTGGGAATCAACACCACACAGCCTCGGGGATCTTGCGGGTCGAGCCTCGAAATCCCAGGGCCCCGGGCAGGAACTAGGGCTACCTGGGAGGCGTGACACTCACCTTGGCCTCCCCCACCCTCGAGAAGCCTCGGAGGTTCAAGGTTTCGGAGGGGTCTGGATTTGCACACAAATCGCCACCGCTGGGATCTGGTACTGGGAAGGGGGCGCGCTCCCCCACCTCGCCTCGCCCCACCCCACCCCCTCTCTGGACACCTACACCCCTGGGTGGTGGGCGGGCAGGGAGGAGAATTCAGAGTCGGGATCTTTGCGGTGTAGGATGAGACCGAGGGCTTTGTGTGATCCCTTCAGGAGCCACGCAGGCGTCATCCCCCCCTTTCCCAAGCCAACTTCTGGGGACCCGCGCCCGACTCGCGCGCGTCCCTCCGCCCGGTTCCCCGCGGTGGCGCTCGGCCGCGCAGCTCCACGTGGGCCGGCTTCCTGACACGGCTCCCCGCTCCCCGTGTTTATCTTGGACTGCGAAGTCGCTCTCCTGTGCTGCCTCGCCACCTCCTCGCGCCCCCGCCCCGTCCCGCCCACCCCCCAAGCCCGGAGTGCCGGCGAATCTATGCTAATTATTCAAACCTGCGCCGGGTGCCCGCTCGTCCCCGCGCCCTGGGCCCCGCCCGCTCCCCCAGCCCGGCGCTTTCTTCCCCTCCCAACGCAGCCCGGCGGCTCCGCGTTTCAATAGCCTGGCCCGGCCGAGCCCCCTCCCCGCGCTGCTCCGTCCGCCGTGGGACAGACGCTAGGGTATTCATTCACTGAGAGTCGGGGAATAACGGCATTATTCCCCCCAGAGAGGGCACCCTGCCCCCGCGACTATCTGAGGCTTCATTGTAAAAGGATTAAAAGTTAAAGACCTCCATCTTATGATTCTTTCATTTAATCTTCCTGGCGCCTGGGAGACATATTCGATGGATGATGGCTTTTAAAATATTCCTGATGTCGGCTACCTTAGGACTCCAAGCCGGGCAAACAAACGTAATTTATTTCCAGGAGAAAGGGGATATTGAGATGTTTAAGTTTATGAACCGCCGTCCCCATGTATATTTGTTAAGTTCTGACAAATACCCAAATAACGTTAAAATCAGCCATTCATCACTTATGAATTTATGCAAAACTTTTTGCGCCCCGGGCCAATATTTTTTTAGAGCGAGTTTCCCTGGCGAGGGGCGGAGGAGGTGGGAGGAGGGAAGAGGAGGGGGCTCGGGGAAGAAGGGGGGAGCCGAAAGCAAGAATTTTCATGCCTGGTAAACACGCGAATTATGCGAAGAGAGTTATTCCCAGCTGGGCGGGCTGCCAAAGCTCGGAGAGCGAGCGCGCCGAGGCCAGCGCCCCCGCCCCCACGCTGGCAGTGTCACTGGATCACAATGCGAGGTCTTCCCTCCGCGACGCCCCCTCCTCCCGCCTCGGCCCGCTTGGAAAACCCGCGCGCAGCCGGCGAGCTTCTCGATTTTCAGGGCAGGAGCCGGGCTGCAGACGTGACGGGCCACAGACCCCCGGACTGACAGACCCAAAGGGCAGGCGCGGCGACGCGGCTCCCCGGCACGACGAGGAGACCCCGCAGGACCCAGGCAGTCCCAGAAGCAAACCAAGGAGGCGCTGGTCCCGGGACGCGTGCCTGGCGCACATGTGGTGCTCGCGTCCCCATTAAGATTAATGTTGATGATACTGTAATGCTAATAATAGCGTGCACGCGGGAAGGAGGAGAGCGCGCTGGGCAGAGGGAAGAGAGCTGTCTCTTGCTGTCACCTAGTGCCTGTCTGCTAGAAGCAGGAAAATTGATCTAAGTGTCTTCAGTGGTTTTGACAGCCTCTGAATTTGCCCGAGGGGTGCAGTGCCTCCCCGGGATGGAGATTCATAACTCTCACAAATACATGCACATTGATTTTTTTTTTTTTAATCCTGGAAGAGAATGAATGCAGAGGTTCCCACTGCCCCGTCGTCCCTCCCATCCCACCGTAGTTGTGAAAATTCACTCATCGACTCTTGCCTTCATTCCTTCCTTCCACCCTTTCAACACCCCGCTGCACTCCACACACAAGCCTGCCAAGGCCAGAAGCCCTCGGGGAGCCAGCCCGGGGAGGACCCTCTGGCCCCCAGGGGCTGGGAAGGGGATCTGGTTCCTGGTTGAGAGGGAGAAGCCAGGGGTCCATTATCAGTCCTGCTTCTGAGACTCCTGAGAAAGGGGGTTGAAGTTTGGTGGCAGCTGCAGGAGGGAGCTGGCTGTGTATTAAGAGCTCTTAGCTGTGCTGGATGGGGACAGCAGGGGGAGGGCCCAGCCCATACTGGTATTTTGAAGGGGGTGATTCATCCTTTTTCTTTAATGCACTTGGAATGTCAGAGCTGGAGGGGAGCTTAGATTCCAATGCCCACCGCTCAATATATGGGTGAGAAGCCTGAGAGCTCCCTGTAGAGACACTTGCCAGGATCACAGGCAACTGCAGTTGGGGTTGGCTACGTGGTCCCAGTTGTGCCTCTTCTCTTCGCTGTTCTCTTTTTCTTTCTTCTTTCTTCTTTCTTCTTCTCCTTCTCCTCCTCCTCCTGCCCCCCTCCTCCTTTTTTCTGTGTGTGTGTGTTTTCATTTTGATGGGTGGGACAGAATTCTCTCCAGATGACATAACAACAGATCAGCAAACTGATCGACCGTCCTCCTGTACCTATTAGCAAGGTGTATACCAACAGTTTGTTACATGCCAAGCACTGGGCTAAACGCTTTACACTAATTTTCCTCTAAGGTCTCTAGTGTCTAATTAAGGAAACAGAGAATATAAGCCTCTTGCCCAAATCCAAGCTGACACCAACCTGTGCTTCTTGTAACTATTCTTCCTTCCTTCAAGGACCTGAACCCTTGGTTTGCGTGATATCCTGCATGCCACGAGTGTGCTGGTAAATCTCAGCTCGGGCTACCTGGTGAGCCACATAACAAGTTTTGTATACCCTGTTATCTATCACTATCTCTCCCTGCAGCTCCCCATACAAAGAGTTTACAATGCTATAGAGCAGGTAAGAAATGAAGACCAGGGTAAGTGATGAAAGAAGAGTTAAACCATCAAACAAACCTGGGCCGGAGAGAGGAGGGCTCACTGCTAGACAGGGAAACCGGAGAAGGCATTTGACCAAAGTCGCAAAAGCAAGGTGAATGTTGTCTTGTGGATGTAAGCTGCGGGAGGAAAGGGTGTTTGGATGGAGAGAGCAGTATATATAAGTAAAGGCATAATGTTGGAAAAGTATTTGCGTGTTTGGGAAACACTCAAACAAACTTTAGCATAGGACAGATCCAAGCTGAGGAGAGCAAGCAATAAAGTCTGAAACACAGGCTGAGGCCAAATTAGGGAGGGTTTTGAATGCCAGCTCCAGCACCAAACTTTATTTCTCAAGCAATAGAAAGCCACTGAGAACTCTCGAATAGGGCAGGGACGCCATAAGAACACAATAGCAAAAGAAAGTATTTACTCATTCAATAAACATTTTTGAGCACCTTTCTGGTTATCTTTTGGTATACAACAAGCTGCCCCCAAAATTAAGAGTTTGAAAACAACCATTTTATTTTGCTCATGATTCCATAGGCCAGGAATCTGGGTAGGGCTCAACTGGACAGTTCATCTATTATACTCTGGGTGTGGGGATCCACTTCCAAAGTGGCTTCTAGTACCTGGCAGTCAGCCAGGAGCCCAACTATCATGTTGATCAGAGCCCCTACAAGTTGCTTCTCCATGTGGCTTGGGTTTTCTCCCACCCTGCAGGCTTTAGAGTAGTTGGTTTTACCTGGTGGCCCATGGCTCCAAGAGAAAGTGTACTAAGAAGCCTGGGTGAGAGCTAAAGGGTGGCCTAGGACAGCCTGAAAAGTCTCTCACCATTGTTTCAACCTTAGTCTTTAGGGTAAGCAAGTCTCAAAGACCAGCTCAGACTCAAGGGGAAGGAAATGGAACATTATCACCCAATGGGAGAAGCAGCAAAGAATCGGGGCCATCTTTAACCTACCTTGTGATAGGCACTTCTGTAAGCCAGGATGTTTTCCATGCCCAGACACAAAC